TATAATTACACAAGGTAAGAAGAGTTTTGATTCACAATGTAATCACAGCAGCAGCTATTACTGAGTTATGCAGCTTAATTTTAAGCAAGCCCTAGCCAAGGGTAAAAGCCATTTCATTTATGATTAGTAGTTTTCTTTATTTTTCCTGGTTTTCTTCACTGTACTTCATCCCATTTTCCATAAAAAAAGTATTATACATGTATTTTTTTTTTTTTTTTACAAATAGCACATTGTTTATGAATACTAGGTGATTACTTCAGATTTTATGTTTTCCATTTTGTGAATAATGGATTCCATAGTTTACATTTTTTCAAAGTTATTCTGACTCATTTTGTGTATGCAACTGAGAGTGCCAATGCCAATACTGAAGTTCCCTTATTACTTTCCTGTTAAGTTGTCATGTATTTTAGAGAGATTGGACCCAGGAATGCAGAACAACACTATGATCTCAAAAATTCAAAGATTTAAAAGTTACAAAAACTGACATGGCAGGAAATAAATACAATTAAAAAAATGCTATAAAAAAGGAGGAAAAACAGACAGGGCATGGAAGCACAACACCTGACTGCAGAGAAGTGAGGACTGGAAGATTAATATGAGTGGGACTGATGAAAAAATTGAAGACAGGTGGTTTAATGTTAATGGGGATGGGGGGTGGGGGGTGCAGGACTGAGGAGCAGAGACTGAGAGAAAAAGGAACATGTAGCACAGGGAATACAAGGGAATAATCTGAACACGAAAGGTGCAGAAAAATAGAACTATATAAAAAAGTAATAATGATAATGATGATGATGATGATGATGATGATGATATTGACAACAACAGTTGCTTTGTCTTTGCTATTTGACTTGCCTGGTTCTAGGTGACTCAGAATCTGCAGCAAAATGCACCAACATTGGTGTGGGACTGTATTAATACTAAAGTGATGGGATCAATACTTTGTTTCACTTTCTGTTTGTCGCTCCGGTTCCAGAAATACAATGCTGCGCCAAAGGAGGTGGCAAAAGATGAGATCAAATATAAAGAGTGGACAAAACAATCATGTCAGATAATAACTGAGTCTGTTCTGATTGCACATCATCTTCAGAGTTGATACACATGTGCTAACACGTGGACCATCGTCTGTAAAAACAGCGTGCTGTGTGTGATGTCACGTCTTCTTCTGTGCATGGGGATCACATCAGGGCCATGAAGAATCCATACTGAAGTTTGATGAAAGTCACATTTATAAAAGAATGTCAACGATGACACAAAAACAAAAAATGTGTCTGAGCAAAATATTGAAATTGAGTATTAAGAGCTGTGGTGTGAACTTAGCCAATGTCTGCCTCTCATTAAATTGGCAGTCAGAAAGTGACAGACACTGGTGTGTGGCGAGCAACTTCCAGAAGGTTTAACGTTCTTCAGTGTTTTTTTTTTTTTGTTTTGTTTGTTTTTTGGGGGGTGGGGGTCATTGCACCTATGCAGTTAGTTGCTGGTCATAAAATTTGAATATCATGAAAAAGTTGATTTATTTCAGTAATTCCATTCAGAAAATGAAAAGTGTAAATTATATTCATTCATTACACACAGACTGATATATGTCAAATGTTTATTTCTTTTAATGTTGATGATTATAACTGACATCTAATGAAAACCCCAAATTCAGTATTTCAGAAAATTAGAATATTACTTAAGACCAATAAAAAGGATTTTTAGAAATGTTGGCCAACTAAAAGTATGAACTTGAAAAGTATGAGCATGTACAGAACTCAATACTTAGTTGTGGCTCCTTTTGCCTGGATTACTGCAGCAATGCAGCATGGCATGGAGTCGATCAGTCTGTGGCACTGCTCAGGTGTTATGAGAGCCCAGGTTACGCTGATAGTGGCCTTCAGCTCTTCTGAATTGTTGGTCTGGTGTATCACATCTTCCTTTTCACAATACTCCATATATTTTCTATGGGGTTAGGGTCAGGCAAGGTTGCTGGCCAATTAAGAACAGGGATCCCATGGTCCTTAAACCAGGTACTGGTAGCTTTGATACTGTGTGCAGGTGCCAAGTCCTGTTGGAAAATGAAATCTGCATCTCCATAAAGTTGGTCAGCAGCAGGAAGCATGAAGTGCTCTAAAACTTCCTGGTAGACAGCTGTGTTGAGCTTGGACCTCAGAAAACACAGTGGACCAACACCAGCAGATGACATGTCCCCCTAAACCATCACTGACTGTGGAAATTTGACACTGGACCTCAAGCAACGTGGATTATGTGCCTCTCCTCTCTTCCTCCAGACTCTGGGACCTTGATTTCCAAAGCAAATGCAAAATTTACTTTCAACAAAGAACATAACTTTGAACCACTCAGCAGCAATCCAGTCCTTTTGTCTTTAGCCTAGGCAAGACATAGACACTTCTGATGCTGTCTCTTGTTCAAGAGTGGCTTGACGCAAGGAATGCGACAGCTGAAACTCATGTCTTGCATACGTCTGTGCATGGTGGTTCTTGAAGCACTGACTCCAGCTGCAGTCCACTCTTTGTGAATCTCCCCCACATTTTTGGAATGGGTTTTGTCTCACAATCCTCTCCAGGGGGCTGTTACTCCTATTGCTTGTATACTTTTTTCTACCACATATTTTCCTTCCCTTTGGCTCTCTATTAGTGTGCTTGGACACAGAGTTATGGGAACAGCAATGACCTTTTGTGTCTTGCCCTTGTTGTCCAAGGTGTCAATGGTCATCTTTTGGACAACTGTCAAGTTAGAAGTCACCCCTGTAATTGTGTAGCCTACAGAATTAGACTGAGAGACCATTTAAAGGCCTTTGCAGATGTTTTGAGTTAATTAGCTGATTAGACTGTGGCACCAGGTGTCTTCAGTATTGAACCTTTTCACAATGTTCAAATTTTCTGAGATACTGAATTTGGGATTTTCATTGTCTGTTATAAACATCAACATTAAAATAAATAAGCATTTGAAATAGATCAGTCTGTGTGTAATGAATTAATATAATATATACGTTTCACTTTTTGAATGGAATTACTGAAATAAATCAACATTTTCATCATGATCTTGTAATTTTATGATCAGCACCCGTATATCAAGGTGTTGGCATCACTTGCTGTTGCTCAGATTACTACAAACTTAATATTGAGAATGTGGGCAGTTTCACTGGTACACATGAAAGTTCTCCAGACATTTTCTAGTTTATTCTATGAGCCAGTCAGTGTTGCAACAACAGGCAGATATTGCTAAGGTAAATGATAAATATAAATTGTTGCCTTTGCCATCTCCAAAATAAAAAAAAAATATATTTTTTTTCCTAGAATTTGAAACTAAAGTAAGATTTTATAAATAATTCTAATTGCTTGGGCAACACTAGAAGTATATTTTAAGAGTGCTTTTGTACAGATATATATATATATATTTTTTTTTTCTTATTTTTGTTCCTATGCTTTGTTTGTTTTATGCCGCTTTTGTTCTAGTCTTTGTGATTGCAATTTCTTGTTTGGATTTTGGCTGTGAAATTATTCTCAAACACATATAATCTTCTCTAATCTACAGTTGTGGTAATTATTTTCTTTTCCGTGTGTCTCCCATTTACCGTGTGTCTCCCAATTACAACAAAGTCGCCAAACAGCCCACTGTATAAAGACAAGATTAACTATCAACAAACTTGAATGAAGTTGGTTTTTTTACTATGCAAGATAACTGCAGAATAAAAACAAACAGAAGTTTCAGTCTTGATTTGCTTATTTCCTTGCATTGTATTTTCTGTTGTAACTTACGATAGTTTCTTATTAAAATATTAATAAAGGATGCTACATTGTACAGTGATTTTCTCATGATTACTATTTGCTGTAATAAAAACATTTTGAAGTTGCAAATTACAAATTGATTTTTATTTAAACATCGTGAAAAAACGAGACACACTTGTGAGAATGGTTTTGGCTGGGCTACATCGCTGAAGCTTACTGGGCTTTGTTTCTGAAAGCTTTGTAAATATGCTAGGCATTAGAACAAAGCCTAGCTGTAATGGTTTATGTGATTGCTCTAACAGATGCTGTTTACATGAAGGGAAATCCTGTGCTGTTTGTGTTCAGATGTGTTATTCAATTTGTTGTGCATATGGTAATTACCTTTTTGCCTATCTTTGATAAATGTGAATGGAATATCAGTGACCAGTTGCAGTAATTTTACTATTTTGGCTACTATATCATTAACCTAACAATGTTCAGCCAGGTCATCTGGATGGTTTCTTCTTTTTTGCTTTTTTTGCTGAGACGTTTCATCCTTCATCCAAAGGACTTATTCAGTCCAAGAAGCCACAAACAAACTGGAGTCCCACAAATACCACACTCTCATAGTGGAAAAAAAAAAAGTTTTCTGGTGATAAGATGGTTTCTGGGGCCCCCCATCTGCCCCGTCACTCCTCTGAAGCAGTCATGTCAAAATAGTTCAGAACACCAACAGTTCGTGCTTAATAATCCAGGTTAGAAATCCAGCAATGTTCAGTCAAGTCATCTGGATGGTTTCACTTTTTTTTGCTGAAATGTTTCATCCTTCATCCAAAGGACTTCTTCAGTTTGAGAAACCACAAATAAACTAGAGTCCCACAAATACACAGATGTCCCACAGATGATCTGACTGAACATTGTTGGATTTGTAACCTGTGTTATTGAGCATGAACTGCTGGTTTATCATTAACAAGTTATTATGTTTTCATTTGATAATTATAGTTGCATATCTCACCATTTCAGTCCAGCGTGTCTTGTCACCAAATTGTCCAATAAGAGGTTTTAGTGGTGCAAAAAACTGATCATTTTAGGTTTTTTGGGGGTTTTTTTATGGCTTGCTTTGACAGCCTGACAATGTTTAAACTTTAGTTGATTGTAAACATTGTTGTCACTAGCACAACTCAAATGTATTTAAAAAAAAAGCTGAAATTCTGATATTTTGCTTCTTCCTGCTCTAACTACACAACACTAAATACTAACACTGACAATGCTAATTATGTCCTTTCTCCTCAGGCTACAGATCCTGATGCAGGGGTTAATGGCCAGGTTTACTACCGAATTGTCAATCATCCCGACTTGTTTACAATCAGTGCTAATGGAAGCATCTACACAAGAGTACGTCTGGACAGGGAGTTCAGGAGTCAGTATGACCTGGTCATCGAGGCCTCAGACGGTGCGGTGGATCCCAGGCGAACTACGCTGACGGTCTTGGTCAAAGTTTTAGACATAGATGACAACAGCCCAGCCTTCTCCCAGGAAACCTACTTGGTGAACGTACCGGAGAACACCGCCGTGGGAACTGTGGTTCTGAAACTAAGTGTAAGTTTATTTTCAAGTCATGTATTTATTTTTTGTATTATTGTTTGTTTGTTTTATTTCAAAGTTCATGCTCAATAATCCAGGTAAAAAAAATCCAACAAAGTTAAGTCAGGTCATCTGGACGGTTTCTTTATTTTTCTTTATATTTTGTTGTTGAAACGTTTCGTCCTTCATCCAAAGGACGTCATCAGTCCGAGGAGCCACAACAAACTCAAACTGGTTGGCCCACTATGTGAGTGTGTTGCTTGTAGGACTGAGTTTGTTGTGGCTCCTCGGACTGATGAAGTCCTTTGGATGAAGGACGAAATGTCTCAAAAAAAAAGAAGAAAAAAAAAAAAAAACGTCCAGATGACCTGACTTAACTTTTTTGGATTGTTTTTTATTGTTTAAATTGTGAAATTCATTCAGATAGTCATTTACACAAACAAATATACGTCCTTCCTGGAGACTTCTATTTCTTATGCTCAGATGGCAAATCTCTAGGCCCTTTCAGACAGAACAAGACTTAAAGCAGTTTTTCTTTCTTATGAGTCACATTCAGGCTTTGATTGAGAATCCTTTTGGAGGCAAATGCAAAGTTAAAATCCAAAATATAAGAAAAGCTGAGCAAAATGTGCCTTTACCCTAAACACCATCAACTATCAGTGTGCATGGCTGTATTAAAGTGAGCCACAGAGAAACCCTGCACATGTAGAGCAAACCTGAGCAGAGGGGCGAGTAATTGCCGGCATATTGTGAGTGACATCTCCCCAGATGGGAGTATAGCAGGAGGCAGAGAGTGTGAGAAAAAAGAAGGAAAGAGGAAAAAGAAGCTGAGCGCTTTGATTGACAGTGACAGTGTGACACTATAATAACCCATAAAACAACACTCCAACTCTAAACTGAGAGGAATAGCAGGATACATACCTAAAAGGTCTGGATTTTTGCTATGTATTAAAGCATTCTGTTATTTATTTATTTGTTTTTAATCCATCAGCTTGTGTTTTTGGTAATTAGCAAATGCTGGCTTATCAGCATTGAAATAAGTGGCAAACATCAAGGTTCATGCTCATTAATCTGGACAGGTTTTTATTTTTTTATTTTTTTTTTTTTGAGCCATTTCATCCTTCATCCAAAGAACTTCATCAGTCCGAGGAGCCACAAAACAACTGTGTCCCACAAGCAGCACACTCACATAGTGGACCGACCAGTTTACTGGTGATAAGTTGATTTCTGGGCCAGCCCTCTCCCCCATCCACTCCTCTCAGGCAGCCATAGTCAAAGTGGTTCAAAACAAAAGTTCATGCTCAATAATCCAGGTTACATATCCCACAAAGTTCAGTCAGGTCATCTAGACGTTTTTTTTTTTTTTTTTTTTTAGACCATCTTAACACCGGCAAACTGGTTGGTCCACTATGCGAGTGTGCTGCTTGTGGGACACAGTTTGTTTGTGGCTCCTCAGATCGATGAAGTCCTTTGAATGAAGGACGAAACGTCTCAATAATAAAAAAAAGAAACTGTCCAGGTGACCTGACTGAACATCGATGGATAATTGGCAAACATCTTGGATAGTGTTTAAAAAATCTTAAGAGATTTTTCACAAATTGGTCTTTTGTTTTCATTAGGAAACTGATATATTCCTCTAAATACTTTTTCAAGTTTTCATAAACTTTGAGCAAATTTGTTATTCCACTTATAAGCAAGAAAATGTATATATTTTTTAAACTGGATTTAGGGACCCCTCCAATTGCACGATGATTTCCTCATCTTTATGGTTGGAAAGCTTCTTTACATCATCTGATCATGGCACCCCACCATCTGTTCTGGTCTGGGTTCAAAGCTTGGCTCACTTCAAGTTTTCTTTGAATCATATATTGATCGCTTGTGTTTGTGCATTCATTGAAAAGTTCAGTGCTGCTCAAGGCCATGCTTTTGTCTAACATATTTGAAATTTTCTTTCAATTTTGAATGTAGCCATTTACTTTTACGTGTTCTTGACTAATACAAGGTTAGCTGGCCTATTGATTGGGAAATGGGGGGGAAAGCATTGCGTGGGAAGTTAATGAAAAAAGATGGAGACAGATAAAAATCAACATTTCTGACTCTATTTTATGATTGGACATTGGTTTAGAAAATTTCCCATCTGAAAATCTTCGGCTTTTCTATTACCCATAAATCATGTATTTATAGGACTTTTTGCTCATGCTTATTTTTGAGGGGAGTTTTAAGCTTTCATCTGACTCCTTCTTGCATGTCTGTCTTGCAGGCGGTGGACCCAGACCTCTATTCAAATGTCACATATCGGATCAAGACTGAATCGGCCAAGCAGATGTTTTCTCTGAATCTTGTCACCGGGGAATTGGCTCTAATGCAGATCCTTGACTTTGAGGGCCTGGCAGCTATGGGCACGAATGCCTCTTACACTTTTCAGGTGGAAGCTGTCGACCAAGGAGGGGTAATGCCCCCAGGGCTCGCTACCGTCACCATCCGCATCACAGTAAGAGCCTCCAGATATAAAGTTCTTCTCTCTTTTCCACATCTTTATTATGTAGCATTGGACAGGGGGAAGCATGCAGTGATTAGCATTCACAGGTACAACAACTTGAAAAGGCCATAAACCTAAAGAAAACTGAAAACATATTGCAGCACTGCAACTTCACCGTTACTAGAATGTGCTATCTGTTGCAGAAGGTTCCTGTGTTATCTTTGTATTTCACATTTTAACCTCCTGACCCAATCACCCACTCACTCACTTTTAAAATATAATTGACAGGTTGGTGTTTCAGTTGTATTTAAGATCTGAATACTCATTAGCTTTGTGAAAAAATTATTCTGTTTTACTGGGAATTGTGCTTCCTTTCCAGCCTTTTAAGAGAATATCGTATTTTACGCTGTACACGTCGCATCAGTCCAAATATGTCTAATAAAGTGGAAAAATCCATAAATACGTCACTTCTCCAAATACTTCACATCTATTATGCGTCACTGCTGACGCGTCGCGTTTGTTAAGCAATATTCAACCAACTATAAGAAATTATAGTGAAGGTGTGTCTCAGTATAACTTTTCCCTAAGAAATACACTTTGACCGTCAAATCAGCTGCATTTTCAAAAGCCGATACACCGAAACAAGAAAGTGCAGAGGGAAACTCGCTGCGCATTTCTTCAAAATTTAACAAGATAACCACCTAAAAACAATTATTTGTTTGCTCAACATTATAGCAAAGGTGTGTCTCAGTTGAACTTGTACTTAATAAATGCACTACAATGGTCAAATCAGCTGCATTTTGCCGGGGCAGTGCAGCGAAATGAAGCTGATTTGACCCTTGCTCCAAGCGAGCAGGACGAAGGTGGCAGGCTATGGCAGGCCGATTGTGTCATTAATAGTCACATTTACCTATTACATGACACAATGGCATGCCATACTACTCGATTGCCCTCTAGCAGCTGACAATGGTAGTGTTCAATATTTTCCATCAGAATGAATGAAAACTGTCATAGCTCAGCCAAAAATTGGGTTATGAATATGAGAAAAAATCCATAAATACGTCACTTCAGCGTATAAGTTGAAAATTGCAAATTGTGCAAAAAAAAACACGAGTTATAGGCCAAAAAATACGGTACATGCCAAGCAATAATATTCATGTGTATTACAGCAAATATCATGTAGTTTCACTCTGATTATTTAAAAAAAATGTGAGCATGGCTACTGCGCTGCTTTTGAATTCAGTCCACCCGTCAAAGTCGGGAGAATTAAGTTGTCAATGTTGCGTGGACAGGCATTGAGCTGTCTTTAAGCTGTTTTTTTTTTCTGCCTATAGACGGTTTGTCTTTTGATAGAGACAGGCTTTGTAGCATTCTGTGTGCTGTCATCCACAAACAGTGTTTGGGTAGGATAAGAGATTGCACTGGCACTGATATCAAACTGGTGTCTGCCATTCAAGATGACTTAGAATGAGCCTAATGGATTCATGCAAGCTGTCAGACTTGATTTCATTGATTTTACTTCCTTTTTATTCTTGTGGTACCTCTAGAGATTTAATTTAAGACATTCTGGTGCACTTTTATCTTTATATTTTGTGTTTGAGTGTCAAATTCTATATAGCTAGTTGTGATGGAATCAGAGTTGTGCTTGTTTTACTGTTCTGAATATAATTTGCGTTCTATTATTCACTTCATGAATATGTGTCCTTTGGTAAGTGCATATGGATGCTTTTGTCTTTATACACACACTATGTGTATGTTGCAACAGTAAATTGCAGAACATAAGGTCCCTGGGAAATATTTGAGATAAACTGATCAAGCTCTGTGTTGCAATGCAAAAAACAATCATAGATTTTCTCCTTGAAAACACTAAAATTGTGTATTTATTACAGTGAGGCTGCTCTCCACCACTGACTTTGTAAAATGATGGTTGTCCTTGGCTCGGTTAGAACAGTGGGAAGTGAAAAAACAACAACAAAAATTAAAGATTTAGTTTCTTTGTAAACTTTCTTAGTGGTGATTTATAGCAGTTTATTACTTAATCAGAGAACATTATTAAATGCAGGGGATGTGTAATTACATGTTTTTATGTGCTAAAAAGCATCTAAACTGTTGTATCTCAAGGTGTTTTTGTACTGTATTTAGAGTAAATATGAAAAATACCTTGAACAGCCTCCTTATCTGATACTAATTTATCGTCCTATTACAGGTAGGAGCAAAAATGAGATTATTTTTCCTTTCTATGCCATAAACCACCATTAGCCTTTTTCAATATGCTCTCTGGGAGGTTATTATGCTCAGTTTATGGGGCATATTTATGATGAAAAATTGATTTGTTCCAATAGTTTGCTTTTTTTGTGTGTGTGTAATTTAAAGGCTGTACATTTAAGTGCCTCAGAAAAGTTGTGGTTTTATTTTGATACGATGTATATAAAAGATTGACAGAGTTCTCTAAAACCTCCCTGCAATTAATGAAGAAACCCATTTTACCTTCCGCAGGTTATCAAAATCACATTTTGATCTATTTATATGTCTTTGAACTTTTTCATTTTATTTATATACATTTAGTCTAATCTAGTATTTATTGATTTATGGTTAGCAATCACCTTTAATACTGGTAGTATGTTATTATTTTGGTAACTATTTTTATACTTAGTGTATTTCTACTTTATTTATGATTTCTTTAGAACAGAATGTTTTGACATTTGCCTTTATTCATCTTGCCATGTTATTTTTTTTTATCCTTTTTATTTTAAATTGTTTAAATAAGCTGGTTTGTTTTGATTTCTAGGATAAGAATGATCTAATAATCATTCATTTTGAATAAAACAAGCACTAGACAATAATAACAAAACACCCTTCCTCCTTCACTAGCTTTATTTATTGATTTGGTGAGGGGGTTTTCCAATTTTACACTCGTGCATGAACTTACATAGGATGAATAGAGAGGGACTGAATTAATGCACTGCATGCAACTTTCTAGTCTTTTCAGACCATAAAAATAAATCAAGATAAGTATTTGAATGGACTGCCTAATCTACTTTGGCAGTTCTTAATATAACTGGGCGTCAAGCCCAAGCATAGTCAGAGGAAAACACTGGATAGGCAAATTAGTCCTGCTTTTATCTCCATTGCTGGGACTTTTAACCTTCACCCTGCTCACATGGCCCTGATGCTTCAGCTTGATTTAATGTTGGCAAACAGTGGCTCTTGTGTTACTGATTATTGAACCTTGCTTTATACTGAAACTCTGACCCACCTAGAACCTTTAAATAGAGAGGGCTGGTGGTTTAAACAGTTTTTTTTTTAACTGTTAGTGTTACATCTTGCACTTCCAGTATGAAAATGTTGGGTTATCATTTTGCACAAAATTGATATTATGACTAAATGCAATTTTCATGTTTGAGGGTTTAGTCACCAGAATGTAAAGGTTACAGAATATGAATTTGTTTAACCATACTGTTGCGCAAATATTTAACTTATAGGTACTGACAACATGTGTCTTTGCTGCTATCATAACTCTGATCTTTTACTTTGCTTGTTGCCTTCAATATTTACATAAAAACAGACTGATAAACAAATATGACCAGGGTGCTAATCGTCCATCTGTTTGTTTTTTTTTCAGGATATGAATGACTTCGCCCCCGTCTTTGCTCAGGACTTGTATAAAGGCTTGGTGGCACCCAATGCAGAGAAAGGAACAGTCATCACCACTGTTTTTGCTGAGGACCAGGACCCCACAGTGAGTATGAAATAATTAATGAGTCATGCTCTAAACGTGTATTTAACACTCGCCCTGTATACACACAAAGGTGGCCGACATGAAAAGGCATTTCCTGAGGATTTAATGTTGCTGAGAGAAAACAAGTCATTTTCAGTGGCAACGTGTTCAACGTGGCCATGCTCTCATTACAGCTACAGGTCTCTGTGTGTTCCTTTTACTCTGCTGGCTTCAACTGCAAGGGGGTCAAATTTTATATCATCACTTGTATGAGTCATCTACGATATCTGTGGTTGCTTAGTGTATGCCAGTTTTTGATATATTCATGTTTTTTTTGTTTTTTTTTTAACTTTCCTTAAAAAGAGAGGGGGATAGAAACATATCTACCATGACTGAAAAATCTCCAAGTCCTGCATGACTGGACTATATGCGTTATTAGTGGCCCTCCTGCTGGTAGGAGCTCACCAAGGCTGAATAAGCTTGTACTCCCTCATCTGCACATGAACACTGAGGAAACCAGATGTCTGTCAGTTGTAGCTGTGGGTGGCCAAACATCTTCACAATGTCACAGTGACTGCTGTACATCTCACTTCCTCACAGGAGGAGACACTCCCTCGTCCTGCTTGACCTATTCCAGTTGTTGCGACTCTGAAATTGGCTCGTTTTGCCATTATCACTCTCCAAGTCATGCAGGATTTTCTTTGTGATGGATAATAGCCGGCAGCGCTAGAGCTCAAATAAGAAGTCACTGTTGTCACAGCAAGCACAATGTCGATGTGAGAGACGAGAGAAAAGACGTCGAGATCCAGATGGATTATATTTCCTGTCTCAGTTTTTTTATTGACTTTAGTCTAGAAAGTCAAAATAATTTACCAGCAGAATGAGTTTTATGGAAACTGCTGCTAACACCAAGCAAAACATGACTTCACACACATGCTCGCTCTATCTTTCGCATAAACTCATAAATAAACTGTGCACACGAAGCGTCAACGACAGACTTGAAGTCTTGATGTAACATGCTGTATGCAAGCAATAACTGTTGAGGATTAGATTGGTTCAGAGCATCTGAACCCCAGAAGAAATGACACTTGTGACTGTTAAAAGGAAGATGCAATTTTGTCATTCTGCTCAGCTCTGTAACATCAATGTTAATATTGCCCTGAATAAGAGATTGCCATGGAGACTAATGTTTATTTTTCAGCACTAGATCTGAGGAGTCTGCTCTTTGTTACTGAAAACCTTTTTCTCCCGTGTCCCGATTCACTGCGGCAGAGCGAGTTCACTAAAATTTATTTAAGTCTCTCCCCATATTCTCAGTCATATTTTTTTTTTCTCACAAGTCAAATCAATCATTCATCCATTTGCAAAATAAACCACCGAAATGAATCTTTTCTACGCTCTCAGCTCGGGCCCTGTTGTTGTTTTGGAGACATAAATCAATGAAACATTCTGGAAGTTAGTGTGGCCTATTTGATATTAATGAAAATTGGACTCTTCTAGAAGAATTGTGCGTGTGTGAAAACTTCTTTAGATAATCTTTACTGTAAATAATCAAGTGAGTTCACTCGAGTGGTAAACATAAAATATTCATAGTCGGGGAATAAAATGTCATGCAGGAAAAAAAAAACTGTAGTACAGCAGAAGAAAAATCTGTTAACAGAAGAGGTAGAATGTTTCTGCAACCAAACACTTAGTCCTTTATTCGTTTTTATACATTATAAATGAGTGAGTTTGTGAAAACAGCAGTTACCTAAAATTGTTATTTTTTATTTTGGATGTTTAAGATCCATGTTAAATGTACGAGTTTCTGAAAGCAAACTACCGTACTTTCCGCCTTAAAAGTCGCACCGCCAAAAACGTTGCATCAGTCCAATTATGTCTAATAAAGTGGAAAAACAACATAAATACGTCGCTTCGCCTTATAAGTCACATTTATTATGCGTCACCGCTGACGCGTTGCGTTTGTTATGCGTCATCACAGACCACCTGGAAATGCAGGCCGGTGTTGTGCCAAAAAACGATCAGCTGCCAAATGGTGGCTGCCGGAACGCGCATGGGAGGACTTTTACAAGAATTTAACAAGTTTAGCGCCTAAAAACTATTGTTTGTTTGCTGGACATTCTAGTAAAGGTGTGTCTCAGTTGAATTTTTCCTTAATAACTGCACTTTAATGGTTAATAAAAGCTTTGTTTCAAAAATTGATTCACAGCTGCTGGAGCGCGCAGAGGGAGGTCTCGCTGTGCATTTCTTCGAAATTTAACAAGATAACACCAAAGTTCATGCTCAATAATCCAGGTATAAAATCCAAAAATGTTCAGTCAGCTCATCTGGATGCTTTCTTTTTTTGTGCTGAGACGTTTCGCCCTCCATCGGGAAGACTTCGTCAGTCTGAGGAAACACCAAACAAAACTGCTTCTCCCACAACAGCCTACTCCAAAGTGGAAAAAAAAAAGTTATGTTGGTGCTAAGATGGCTTCTGGGGCACGCTCTCTCCTCCAGTGCCTGCCCTCTCCCTCCCTCGAGACGAGGAGCACGTTTGTTTTTTTTTTGTTTGGTGTTTCCTCAGAGTGATGAAGCCTGATGAAGCCTTCCGGATGGAGGGCTAAATGTCTCAGCACAAAAAAAGAAAGTGTTTCAATGATCTAAATAAACACTTTAATTGTCAAATAAGCTGTATTTCACCTGTGCGGTGTGTAAAAATTAAGCTCCAGAAGTGTCTCATTAATAGCCACTTTTACCTATTAATGAGACACTTGGCTTGTCATATCGGTCGAGGGCCCTCTAGCAGCTGAAAATGGTAGTGTTCAATTTTTTCCATGCCAGAATGAATGAAATTGTCAGATCTCAGCCAAAAACTGGGTTATAAATATGGGGGACAAAACATAAATTAGTTGCTTCAGACTATAAGTCACAGGACTTGCTAATTTATGCAAAAAGATGCAACTTATAGTCTGAAAAGTTTGGTAAATATTCAAGATGAAAAAACGAAAACTAGAAGCTGACTGGTTTCAGTAATCTGATTGCATTTTGAGGCCCTGTTTACACAAAAATGATTGCTGGTGAAAAAGGAAGAGTTCCGTTGCATTTGTACTGTTCATTTACACAAAAATAGCAAATATTTTCTCTGACAACAGCACAATTTGAGAATGGGTTCCAGAGTGGTTCAAAAACGTCTCAGTCCGTTGTCGTGTAAACAGAAAAAAATAGATGTTTTCTGTCAGGGAATCCCTGGCTCATGTGCAGTATGATGCAAAACATAACGGCTTCCTATAATCCACAGAAGAAGAAACTATCGACAACGGCGGACACCAGAGTATTGTTTGTGCTGCAGACTCTTATAAACCTATACATCTAATTTCCCCAGATTGCTTTCAGTTTTGATATCAACTGGCCTTTTGTTACGGCAGTTTTCTCGTGAGGGAAATGTTAGAACGTTTACAATGTTTTTTGTTGTTGTTTTTACGCATGCGCACTTAAGAGTTTCAAGTTTCAAAGCGCATAGCACCAATTTGTGGCGTGGCGAGGGAATTGCATATTTTTCATGTCTACCATTGCTGTGTAAATGGAGATTATAATTAGAATGTTTTCATGTAAATGTGTTAATAGACGGGGAAAAAATTCTGTTTTCTATGGATCGTTGCCGTGTAAACAGGGCCCGAGTCTCAAGCAAAGCATTTAACTATGACTATTTCCACTACTGAAAAGATCTGACTGTGAATGTATAGTTTCTATTCTTCTTATTATTGCTATCATTAAAAAATAAAATGTATTTTAAAATATAGCTTTAAATGAGTATTTTTCTTTGTTTTTTTGAATCCCCTTTGTAGTTTGACTCAGTTTTGTAACCTCCAGTGAATACATCTGTGCTAGGAAGCTTCCCAAGAGATCCACTGCTACCACAGGATCTATTTCTCTTTAGCTTCAGGTTTGTACCTCATCCCTGGAGGGCAACATTGCATAATGCAAAAAAAAAAAAAAAAAAAAAAAGGTGCTTTAAAATCTTAAGAAAAAGCCTCAGATTTCATTTCGTGTCCAGAGGGATGAAACCAGGATAAGAGGAAATGAGGTAGAAATGATTAGTACAGTAATCAGGATCCACGTTAAATCCTAATCAAGGGGTCAAATTAAAGTTCATACTGCTACTGATGAACTGGTGTCCGTTCCTCTGGACTGAAAGGATTGAAAGGATGGATTTAATAAATATAGATTTTTATATTTTTAATAAAAGGAATACGGTTAATAAATCACATAAGGTTTAAAGGGGTGGGTTGGGGGGCTGTGGCAAGATAAGAGTTTCTGAAATGGATGAGTAAGAGTACGATGTCACATTAGGACTGTTCTTCAAATAACAGAGATTTTAAAAAGGATTATTATCTTACATTGCGCTAATCTCTTCTGCTTGATAAAACAGTCAATTTTGACAATTTATTAAATTATAACTCTTATCGAACAGTATTGCAACACATCTATGACCTGAGCTAATTTGATTTCCTTTTTCTTTATTTATTTGTTTTTTTAACAAAGTTCAGACAGGGCATCTGGATGGTTGCTTTATTTGTTGAGATGTTTCGTCCTTCATCCAAAGGACGTCATCAGTTCGAGAAGCCACAACAAATTCAGTCCCACAAGCAGCACACTCACATAGTGGGCCAACCAGTTTACTGGTGATAAGATGGTTTCTGGGGCCTGCCCTCTCGGCCATCGACTCCTATGAGGCATCCATAGCCAAAGTTGTTCAAAACATCAAAGGATGTTTGATGAAGTCAAACGTTTAGTCTTTTGGATGAAGGACAAAACATCTCAAGAAAAATAAGAAACCATCCAGATGACCTGACTGAACTTCGTTGGATTTTTTTTACCTGGATTATTGAGCAAGAACTTTGATGTTTTGAATCACTCTGGCTATGGATGCCTCAGAGGAGTCGATGGGCGAGAGGGTGGGCCCCAGAAACCATCTTATCACCATCAAACTGGTCGGCCCACTATGTGAGTGTGCTGCTTGTGGGACTGAGTTTGTTGTGGCTCCTTGGACTGATGAAGTCCTTTGGATGAAGCACGGAATGTCTCAACAAACAAAGAAACCATCCAAATGACCTGACTGAAATTAGTTGGATTTTGTACCTGGATTAATGAGCATGAACTTTGATATTTCTTTTTTTTTTTTTTTTTTTTTGAAAGGTGTTCAATGCAACTGTTTCAATGTAAATATATCTCCTGTTCACATCTTTTTTTTTTTTTTACAGGGTACTCCAGCAAGTTTTGTGCGCTACAGAGTGGACATGGAAAGGTCGCCTTACAGTGGCAGTATATTTGATGTAGAGCTGCAAACTGGAAGAGTCATCACCAAGGTCAACCTGAATGAGCAGCCCAGTGTCACCTTTAAAGTGAGTAGCTGTAATTTCAGTGACATTATTAGTCAAATGCTGCTCCTGGTTGTCATCATTGCTGGCCATTTTCTAGAAGATTATGCAGATATTCAATCTAAAAAGCCACACACCAAGAACTTTGTGTGAGAAAAGGGATTTTTTTTTTTTACTTTAGGAAGCTCTCAGGGAATCCCATCTGAGCTGCACCGACTATATTTAGAGCATGAGATGAAAGCCGGGGTGGTGGCAAGGCAGCACACCATGTTGGCTCGAATTTGCTAACAGATAAAGGTTATAGAAATGTTTTTCGATGATTAGCTTTACCCTGGTGAAAAAGTCACAGTAAAAAATATTTCATAATGAAATAATGATAGTTATAAACAGCCTCAAAGTTAAAACCCGTATTATTAACATGATATTTAAAGAGTTGGGTTTTTTTTTGTTTTTGTTTTTTTGACAAATCAAATGCAGTTGTCTACATAAACCTATAGAATACAGTGACTGTGATGTGGCCTATTTATATTTATCCATATTTATATGACTAACCCTGCCATGCATTGTCAGTGTCTAAGCCTTTGTACCAATTTTAAGCACATGCTAAGCCTCAGGAGACACTGAGGACAAACTAAGATTCAATCCTTCAGAATACATTTAAGTATTCTTGAATGCACGTTGCCATATGTGGGACTTCAAAATTGGCAAACTCAATTTTGAAGGAGTACCTATTCGTTATGATTTTCCCAAATGCAAGAGGTAAGGTTTCAGTTCGGATGTTTTCTTGATAGTTTGATGTAGAGGAAGTGGGGAGAAATAAAAAAAAAAGTTTTTTTCTCTTTTAAATCTTAAGCCAAATACACTGGAGGAATCTCTCCAAAAAATCTCCTGCACCTCGTTTTTTTTTTTTTTTTTGCTCTTTTCTGCTGTGACAGTAAACACATCAGCTGTAAGAACAGTGCCAAAGCTTGTGGTCTGTCTTGCAGGTCCAATTGTTTGTTTCGGCTCCCAAATGTTTAAAGCTATCCCCACAAACAGTATGTGTGGTTGTTAAAAGTGGAGTTTTGGCAACAGGAGTATACTGTATGTTGCTCGACAAACAGATGCTGGAGTACAATGAAAGGTACTTTTCACAGTGAACAGAGCAGCTTTTAAGTGCACGGAAACTGGGTAATTAAAAAGCCTCTGGTTGTTTATGAGGTCAACACGAGTGCGACTTCACAGAGCTCGCCATCATCCAAGTTTCCCCTTGTTTGTTTATTTGTTTAGATCAGTTCCATTGAGTTTATTTACAAAGAGAAAATTCATAACTTAAACCATCTCCTCATGTCTCACCAAAAAAAAGTAGGTCAAACTATAAGACATGATAAGAACATGAGCACCTGTTATAGTGAAAGGAATTGTGAAGGAAATGTTAGCAATAAAGAGAGTAAAGATGAGAGAATTATATCATAAATACAGTATATATATATATATATATATATATATATATATATATATATATATATATATATATATATATACATTTTTTTTTTATATATATAAAGTATAACTCTTACCCACTTTAATTTCTTGCACCTAAAACATTAAAGTAAAGTGCTATGCGTTGACATCATTGTATGTTTCTTTACAATGACGAAATTAGTTCTCTGCATCTAACCCATCACATGCACCAGGTGGTGAAGTGGGCAGCTATGTGGGAGCAATTAGGGATTAGGTGTCTTGCTCAAGGACACCACGATGTGGGCATGGCAGGGAGTTGAGCCTGTGACTTTCTGGTCCCAAGTTGGCTGCCCTACCTCTACACCATTTCAGCCCCCTCTTAACGTTTACTTGTGTTCCTTGTTCAATTCCTGTCCAGATGGAAACTCATCTCAAAAACTCCAACCATTTATTATTCTAATCCCTGGGCAACATGGGGCATCCACGTATCACTGGCATGTCAAAATATGGCCAACATTATGACCTTGGTAAATATGACAAGTTCTTGTCTCATCAACCCAATTCAGAATGGCCACCACGTTCAAATGACCTCAGCAAACATAAACATGGGTATAACTGAGCTAGTTTTATAAATATTGAGCTGAAATTTGGTGCAGTAGTAGCTGAGAGTCGTTAAAAACACATACTTTGTTTACTAATACGTCTCACAAGCATGAGATAGGGCATAACGTAAGTTACAAGATTTGACCATAACGAGTATAGGTTCATCCCTTCATCGTCATAAACCGCTCTTACTTTAAAACGCTGACATGAAAGGTGGCAGACAATATGCATTCCTTTGAGGAATGCCAGACCTTTATTATACCACTGTTCTGGTTCTGGATCTGGGATTTTGCAGTCATTAAAGGACTTTCTAATGCCTTGTCTATGTGTATAATGCAGCAGTGTGTATGTATCGTAACCTTTTGTAAACAAGTCCCAAGCTCGTAGTAAGGCGGGTGATGTATGTTCAGGGGGTTTGTTTCATTACTCTCTTGTGTTGTCTGTATTGTTATCTGTAACATCGCCCCACCCCTTTTTTTTTTTCCATCACTCTTCTTCTTAAAACTGCTGCAATGCTTATTCTATCTCTCTCTCTCTGCTTATCTTCCACTCCCTGCTTGCACACTCTCCTACAGTCTGTGAATGTCGATCACTGCATTCATACTTAGTCTATAGGAGGTTCGCAGGCTGCTCACCAGTTTTTCTGTCCCCATTCTTGTCTTCATTAGAATGCCAAACATGTCTGGAAAATAAATAAATAAATAACATAGAAACATGTCAAGAGCTTCAGAACAGGAACAGTTTTGTGTAGAGAGTAGTGTTACGGTTCCAAACTGTGATCATTCTGCGCTTGTGTTTTCATTGTATAGTTCATACGAGTTCTCTTGCACTTCCATAGCTGTATGTGATAGCCTTTGATGATGGGGAGCCAGTGAAGTCTAACAGCACTTTGGTGGAGATCACCGTCCTTCAACCCTCTCGCATCCCTATCTTCACTGAGGAAGAGTACACGTAAGTTTCCTTGACTTGCTGTTGATGCATCTGCCTGCTGCTGTTTCTTCCCACACCTCTAAGCAACTTTGTCTGAACTTCTAGACAAGCTAGAGAGGCTGAAAACGGTTGTGGAGTGGACATAAACACCTTGACACATTTTATTTTGTATCTGTGGTCACATCTTCAATTCAACTTTCTAAGTCACAGATCAATATTTAATGCCTTGATAAATTATACATTCTGCTTTGAACTGCGGTGAAGTTTCTCATGCATTTAATGCTTTGGGATAATGACAGCTATCTGTGCATTACTGCACTCTTGTTGTCAACACTCACTAACTCTGTCTCCATTTTGGTCGTACTTTCTTGTTAGCATGCAAATTCATGTTTATTTACAAGTGCTCCAGGGTATGTAGTTTTAATTGCCACTGTTAAACAAATTTGTTTCATTCCAAATGGAAGAAACTGGGTTGCTTCTTCATATATTAACAGCCAGTTTTGACAATATTAACTATTTAGACCATTAAAATGGCAGAAAGAAGCAAAGGATTAAGAATTGTTGCTCTAAAATGTGACACACAACTGTAGTGGGATATGTTGAAGGGAGTTTGTCTATTGATGTTACTGCGGCTTGAGACGAGGCCAAGAGGTTATTTATTATTAAAATGCACGCAGATCATTAAAATACCACCAAAAGTTGCTTTGAAGAATTTTCTGGAATGAAGCAATACTAGAAATAGCTGCTTTTTTTATATATATTATACCATGCCACATTAGTTAAGACATCTGTGGTGTTCAGAGGAGCCTCACCAGACTGATGGCAAAGTTTCCTGGCATAAAGTTGTCATTAGGATCTTGTAAAGCTTGATTTAACTAGATTTCTATGCTGGCTTGTACGTTGAGTCCTGACAGACTCTCTTTTGTTAGACAATTTGATATGTCCTTATGCGAATGGAAGTCTTGCCTAACCTGCCAACACTTGAGGTGTTGCGTTGTCGTGCACAGGTTTGTTTTTCTGCTCATGTCGCCGATTTTAGTCATTCTAATTCCCGCCGAGGGCATGTCTGTATGGGTTTCTTTTCCACAAACAGATTAAAGCATGCGGTTACATTGAAAAAAAAAAAAGTCTTCCTGATGTTTTCTATCCTATCAGTATGTGTGTGCACTCACGTTCTCCATGTTTCCCAGCTTTATTCAGTGACATACACAGGCTCAGCAGCACGCCTGTTGAAAGGCCATTGATTAACGTTTTGAATGAGCAGAATGTTGGGAAGACACACAAAAGGTTGAGAACATGCCGCAGGCCTCTACAAGGTGTCACGTTGACAATGCTAGCCACACACAATGGCAGGTCCGTTGTAAATTATGAGCTGTTAGCCGGGTGCTGAAGTCTCTCCTGCTGGACAAGCATCTCTCCAGTGGAGAGCATCCAATCTGCTTGCTCTGCGATGAACTGTCTCCTCAGTCTCGCCTCTCTATCTTTCATGATTGTCCTTTCCCAAGTAACCTTCCCTACACAAATCACTTTCTAAATGTCTACAGAAGATCTTGTCTGTCTGTGTGAAGGCAGTTAGTTATAGCAGCAATCAGGTGAACTATGCCTATAGCTCTAGAGCACACAATTAAAACAACTCTGCGGGGCTTCGACTGACTTAATGATTTTTTTCCTCCTGTTTTATGGTTACTCCTCTCCATCTGTCAGAGGGAAATGAGGTGCTCCCAGTCATTGTTGGCTACAATAAATGGCTTATGCTGCTGTTGCTATTGTAGCAACTAATCGCCACCTGCTTTACTGGAAGATGTAACACAATGTCTTTGAAAAGAAATGTTTTTATCACCACAAAAGCAGACACACTTGTTTTTGCCCCTGTCAGTGTGTTTTTGTTTACTTAATGTCTAAAAAAGTTAAATCTGGTCCTCTGGACATTCAAAAAAACAAAACAAAGCAAAACAACAAAAAAATGTAGAAACGTTTCGTCTCTCATCCGAGAGACTTCCTCAGTCTGAGGTGCTGTATTCAGCTCAGTCTCTTAAATAGCACCGTCTCAGAGTGGATCAACCAGTTTTGCTGCTGACGACCAAAACCAGCTGATCACATGCTCAAGAAGGACCATCACCTAACAATGGATCATTAGCACACTGATGGCTGTTTACTATTCACAGAGGGCTGAGTGATACTAGCAATCACAGCATTGTAAGAGGGGGACAGTTGAACCCGGAGGCCTCCACCCCTGTTTAATGATGGACGATTTATTTTCACAAAGATGGCCTCCTTTACTCCTCTCTCAAACCATCGTTCCTCTCTATCCAGGATGTGCACATCTTCATCCCTGAAAGAGTGACCGCTGACCTGGAGATGAGTGTAGACCGCAGAGTCCTGGCCTGATGATGTTGATCTTCTGTGCTGGGCCATCCTTTTGGCCAGTGGCTGTTTTGTTTCCCCGATGTAAGACTGATCACAGCCCTCCTGACACTGAACAACATACACAACATTACTCTGTTTGTGCCGGGGGACTGGATCTTTGGGATGAACCAGTCTTTGCCGTAATGTATTTTGGGGTTTAAAAGCCACTGGGACGTTACGTTTAGAAAATAAACGTCTCAGTTTCTCTGATACTCCCTCAACATACTCTCTTGAGCATAACTCTTGAGCATGTGATCAGCTGGTTTTGGTTGTCAGCAGCAAAACAGGTTGATCCACTCTGAGAAGGTGATCCCGTTTAAAAACCCACTACTATTCAGTAGAATGTCCAGAGGACCAGATTGAACTTTTTTGGATTTTTCTACCTGGATTATTGAGCATGCATCAGGATACTATTCAGTAGCTTTCAACACCAGATGATCTGTGTTTTGAACCTGTACGCTCCACACTGGTTAGTCGTCATATTTATTATCTGCATCGTTTTTATGTCTTTATTCTGATTTACCTCATTTTGTGTATTGCTTTGTGTGTTGCCTGTTTATCTGTCTGCACAGCACTTTGGTTGGCCTTGTCGCTGTTTCAAGTTCTCTATAAATAAAATAGTATGGTATGGTATGGTATAATTTTTCAACATGAGAAGAGCTTAATCTAAAACTATGGCATTAAAATCAACAAATGATATACATTCCTTCAAGGAATGCTACATCTTTAATTGTTTGTTTAATCAGTGCAATGCTTATTTATTTTTTTATTTTTTTTACCTTAAAGTAAGTTATAGTTTTGTTGAATGCTAAAATAAAGCCTGTTTGCTACTCTGCTTGTTATTAAATGTATTCACTGATCAGAACAAACAAAAAGGTGAGCATTGTGCAGATGAACCCATTCATGCCTGGTACCTACATATTGATTTCATCCTAAATATTGGTCTGACAGGAAACAATCGGAAGTCATGCGGGACATGCATCTACATGTACATATGCATTAGCAGTCTGAGGGCAAATCCATCTTGGGCCACAATGAAGGACCTTTTGTTGATTGATTGTCACTCCACCTAAAAGGCTGAGCAACCACCTGATGTTTGCTCTGCTTGGCCATTGAAGTGGTCTGACGAGTCAAAATTTGAAAGATTTGATAATAGCAGTAGGCAGTTTTCTGAAGGGCTGAAGAGAGATATGATGATGAGTGTCTGCAGGAATCTGTGGAGGTGGTAGAAGCTTCTCGTGATTTGAGGCATGCAAATATAGAACTGCAGGAATATGTATGTAAACTTACTGTATTTTGAATGATAAATTATATGTATTTTAATGCAGAGAAATGCCCAACCAGGGACTGGAGTTGTGAATTAGCTGTAGCTATATACTTTGTACTCTTTGTGCAACGCATCAATAACAAACTTGTTCTGTTCTGTTTGTGTACATTGTCCCTGTCAAATAAATTAATAAATGAAATGAAATGAAATGGAGTTGGGGATTTGAACTGGATTAAGGATTGTCCACAATTCTGACCACACTCCATGTCCATATGCAAAAAAGAAAAAAACGACTATTTGCTCAAACTCAAGCAGTTGAAACATTGATCAATCAGGTTTTATGCATATGGAGTCTGAATATGTATCACTTTGAAGGTGTTTGATGTTTTCCCAGTGATCAACACCTCAGAAGAAATGCATTTGTTTTTTTTTTTTGTTTTTTTTTTCAAAAAAAAATCCTGTGTTAAGGAATGTAAGCAGATACTTTCTCATCGTGCAGTACAACCAGAAAAGTGTTTGTTCATCTGTTCATCAATCGACCTTTATTTATACAGGTAAATCCCATTGAGCCTCGAGGACTCATTTACAAGAGAGACCTGTTCATAAAAACATTAAAAAATTCCTGCATTTTAGATCAACTGCTTTATTTATTTTTATCCATCCATCCTATTTGTCAACAGAGGAATGCATTAAAATTCATATTGTTCATTTTTAATCATCTTAGTGAAGGTTTTTGGGGTCATAAAGAATTTTTTTAACTCTTCGTGCGACTTAGTTCACTGTGGCGACGCCTGATGAAGGGCACAACCGAAAGAAAAAAATAAGTTTTGAACTCCATCCATCCATTATCTTTACCCACTTATTCCATTTTGGGTCACGGGGGTCGCTGGTGCCCATGTCCAGCAATCACTGTGCGAGGGGCGGGGTACACCCTGGACGGGTCGCAAGTCCATCACAGGGCCACATAGAGACAAACGAGACAAACAACCATTCACTCTCTCACTCACACCTAGGGACAATTTAGAGTTACCAATCAGCCTAACATGCATGTTTTTGGACTGTGGGAGGAAACCGGAGCACCCGGAGAAAACCCATGCATGCACGGAGAGAACATGCAAACTCCACCCAGAAGGCCCCTGGACCGGGGTTTGAACCAGGGACCTGCTCGCTGAGAGGCAGCAGCTCTACCAGTTGCGCCACCGTGCTGCCCAAGTTTTGAACTCCTATTAATAAAAACTAAAAAATAAAAAATAAAAGGTAATTTTACTTTTAACTCTAAACATAATATTGTGGCAGACTTTTAGGATTTGGTTACACTAAAAGCAGTTTTCTTTTTCTTTTTTGCCTT